AAGTTCGATTATCATGTTAACTGTTTGTATTACAGCTTGAGAGCACGCAAAAGCAACAAATATTCCAAATCTAAATTAACTAAATTTTTCCTTGTAATAATAAACACAAATCATAATTTACAGGGCTAGTCAAAAATAGGAAACTCAACTGTTGCCCCCTTTATTTTAAGGAAGTTCTGCATTTAGCGCTTTCCAGATCTAGGATATAAAAGCCTAATTAATGAGCTTTCCTTCAGCACAAGAATCATTGAAATCACTTATATACTTTTTAAGTTATGCAATTTTGAACACTAACACCGTTTCATAAGTTTTTTTCCACGGATCACATTTTAAGGTACGTGATATTTCAGTAAAATGAAACTATGTCCCCGTCTCGTGCAAACAACATCAGAATAATCCCAGAAGTCTGCGGGGTAAGCAAGGAGAATCCAGGGCAAGACGCAAGAACTAAACTCTTCACATTTTTATCAAGCATGTTGTTTTAACATTTGAAGTAAGTGTTTAAATAAATTAATGTTATGCTAGGAGCCAGTTATCATGATTATGAGAGTGTCCTGATGTTTTGGGTTTATTTAATATGTGAATTGTCTTCGCTTTACTGAAATATTACGTACCTTAAAGTGGTGATTGTTGGACAAACTTATAAAACATATAAAACGGTGTTTGTGTTTAAAAATATATAACTGGAAAAGTACATGAGCGATTTGAATGTTTCTTTTACTAAAAGAAAGCACATTACTTGCAAGGCTTTCACATCCTAGATCTTGAACGCGCTACTGCAGAAACCCTTAAAAAAAGGGGGCATTAGGCCCCAAAACAAGTCTCCGGTCTCTGGTATGCGCGCGCATCGCCGTAGCCATGCTCGTCGGCAAAATGAATTTTTTTTTTTTTCAATGAAAGATGATGTCTCAAAACCGCCAAACTCACTGGTTTGACTGGAACCCTGCTGCTGCTCAATTTTAACGTGTTTTTTAGATTGGGTTATGGTCGAGAATAAGCTTGATGTGGCCTCTCTGGACTCCCATATATGTCATATATTTGCACTAAGCTTAGTCGGGCACCATTTGCAGTCATCAGCCGACATTTGAAGCAAAAAAATCAGGTAAAAAAAAAAGAAAAGCCGCGTCGCCGCACCACTTTTTGGGCAAGCTCCATACCAGAAACCGGAGACTTTTTTTTTTTTTGGCCTTATGTGGGTTTCCTTTTTTGACTCACCCTGTGGAATACCAATGGGGAAATACACAAATCTGTGAAACCGTATGATGCTAATTATACATAACTGGTTGATTTCTGAATCACACGATTCAGCGTAGACGAGACGAAATGGAATACACCGGGTCGAAAACGTGTGCTCATTGTTTGAATTTGTTTGGACTAAGTTTGAAATTGTCTGACAAAAGACGAAATTAAACATTGAAAGTGCACTAAGTCGATGTTGCTGGACAAAATTGAATATAAGAATCGGTGAATTCGAACGAAACATGATAATCTCATTTGTCCTTAGTCCATAACATAGGTTTTCCCGGCTATTTTAAAACATTTTTTGTTCGAATTCACTGATCCTTATATTCATCTTTTCGTTTGTGAATCTGAATGAAAAATGTTTTAAAATAGCCAGGAAAACCAATATTCATTCGATATATGTTTCTGTCGCTTCTCCTTCGTACAACTTGAACGGTTGAATCGGAACGCTTTAGAAAAGCAAAAGAGGCTCTGTGACGCACAGCGCAAAGGCACATCAGCATAATTAGGTCTACACACAGACAAAATGCAATTTACTTCTTGTGTTGACATAAATAGTTGCATTCTAATTGACTTCATGTTTCTCCAAGGTTATCTCAACAACTCGGTCCTCGAGGCAATTCCCGAAATGGAGCAGACGCAGTCTAATTAGGCATAATCTCTTGCTGATGTAGGCTAGGCACGCGGCAAGTATAATATGCTTCGTTAATCTGATACTTGTGCAATACTGAGTAGTTTATTTTAATAAACACGGTTTACGACAAATCCAAAATCAAAGGGATTTGTTTAAAACAATGTTGTTTTCATAAATGTTGGGAAATATCGCTTATGGTCTAAGATTTGTTAGAGGCGATCTCAGTTAGCCATTTTAATTAATTAAATATTCATTAGTATTAAGAGGTATTTGAGGAATTAAAGTCCAATTTTCCTGAGCCCTTAAAAATTCGACCGAGATAAAACGGTTCCAGAAAAAAAGACAATCTTTATAAATGTCACCGTTTAAAAAAAAAAAGAAAAAAGAAAAAGAAAAAAAAATTGTTAGAGAAGATCACGGTACGGTTAGCCATTTCAATTAATTAAGTATTCATTAGAATTAAAGGGAATGTACATCATTGGCTTTTGCTGTGAAAACCAAGAAAAACAAAACTTTTCAAGTAGTCTGGTTGTCTGACTCCACACAAGATAAAATGGATCTATCTATAGATGATGGAAAATTGTAAGGCAAGGGAACCAGTCTAGCTGGCCTGCACCCGTCCATGAACATGTAACCAATAGAAAACAAAATCTGGACTGAAAAAATGGTAAATTTGGAGCAGTAGTTGAAAAATAGTTAGGTTTTTCCAACGCTGGTCGGCCGACCACCGTTGGAAATGTTTGCAAAAATACAATTTTCTTGAAAATGACTTCACACCAGGTGCCATTATTTTACAAGATGCTTGAGACTGTCATTAACCAACATCCTAGTAAGGTATTTCGTAAAAACTTGGTAGTTTTATTTTTCGATGTTTGCAAATGTTGTATATTCCCTTTAAGAGGTATTTGAGGAATTAAAGTCTAATTTCATGAGCCCTTAAAAAATCGATTGAGATATAACAGTTCCAGAAAAAAATAAACTCTTGATAAATGTCACAGATTAAAAAAAATAATAATAAATAACTGCGATAATATCCCCCAAAAGATCTCGCAATGACAGTAGGTAAATTGTATCATATTTTTTTTCGAGCCGCATATGATAACCATAGACATGTAGAACATTTTAGGGGAGCACTTGAAATATTCATGAAAAAAAGACATGAATACTGTATGAAGAAGAGACTTTCAATGTAGAAGAAACTGAGCACAAAGAGAAAGACTATGAGATAATGCCAGACAACCTTGGGAATGGATACCTTCTGTCAAGAAAACAAGATTATTGGAATCAAATGAGAAGGGACTTTGCAAATTTCAATTCCAGTACGATGAAGGCAAATTTCAATTCCAGTACGATGACAGCAACAACAACGTAGAGTAATTTAGCAAATGAAAGCGAATTTCTCCATTAAATAAATTGCACATGCGGTCATCCGATTTTTTTTGTAATAACGACCTGACGAAGCAACTACAAACAACAGTCACAAATTATGAGGAAAATTTAATAGGCGAAATGTTTAACGATCAGTCCAAAATTAAGAATCGCTCGTCAGCAAAATTATGGGTAATTTTCGAAACATAAAATCAATTATTGAATTCTAAAATAGGAGTTCGTATTATAAAAGAACGGAACGCTGTTTTGAAATAAATTAAGGGCAGTGCCGGGAGCAAGGTTTTACGCGACGTGTGCGTGCTATGATTATAGGGTACATGTGACGCATCTGTCGGCCCTCATTATGTTTAGCTTATAGCTTAATGAAGGCTGCATTAGAGTGCATTGTGTTTTGCTTTGTAGAAAATCCAACAACAGTACTAATTGGCTTGCCTTTTAACGGCAGAAGCGTAGACAGAACAAGGCAGTACCGTGGAACATTTCTATAATTAGGACTAGGTGCATTTTGTTATCTTCTGTAACGCTTTCAGTCGGACAAATAATACACTGTAAAAACGTCTGGTTAGTTTAGCAAACAGCCAAATTTGCAGCCTGCCATACTACAGCAAAATGTATAGGCACAGCTGTGTGCAAGTTTAACTGTTCTAGTCAAATTTAGCTAGATTGTGTTCTGAGTGTACAATCCAGTAATAATCCATGTTGCAAGGCTTATGATATCTGTTTTCATGTCTGTTTCAAGCTCGCACTATTTTTTAGAACCGGTTTACCATTTTTTTTGTCTCTCTCATTTTGCCGACTGGACGCTGTTCGTTCAGTTGTCCATGCAAATTGACGTGTGCTAAAAATTGTTTTCTTTGTGAAAGAAAATCAATTGGGAAAACCCGTTTGACTACGATTAACCGCGTTGTATTAATATGAATACAGATTAAACTGGACTGATTTAACTGAATTCCATCAGATTTAAGAGAACATATTTGGCAATTCAGAAATTGGGAATAAGATCAAATAAATTGGTTAGTGTTTAAACTCTTATTGGGTGAAGTACTTAAGTGATAATAATGTATACTCTTTGTACAGGTATTAGGATATAAACATGAAAGGTAAAATTTTCGATTGGATTCCCAGCGGGAATGACGCATTAAAACCATGTGCAAAATCGGTTAAATCTATATGCATTTCATTCTCAATAAATTTATCCTCTAAAAGTATAGAGCTCAAGAAAACCAATCGCCAGGATTTTTTTGCAGTAAGTTTTCCTTTCAAGTGAAAAGGCGACCATTATTGTCTACACAAGCACTATGGACCAAAGTCCACGTATGTGTGGATATATATTAACTCACACATTTCGGCTGCAGTAATGCAAGATGCATTATCATAAGTAGTCGACCACGTTTGATACAACGAAGGGAAAAATAATTCCCCAAACGCTTACAGTTACTTGGAAACAAATGAATGTTCAGAGCGCGCGGCCTAATGCATTTGATGAACAATGCCGTGGTGAATACAGATATGGACAGGTGTTTTAAGGACAGTTTACCGCTTTCAAACATTCACAGATGATGTTTTTGCGGTTGGATATTAAGAAAAAAATCCAATTGATGGGTGTGGGTGTTGGTTTTTGGTCTTTACGGAAATGCCAAACACTGCAAAAACTGGAGTGTTAAATTTACACCATTGGTATCTATATAGGACCATCCTGTGTTAAATTTTACTGGTGTTGTCATATATATAGATACCGAATGGTGTTAAATTTACACTACAGTTTTTGCAGTGTGGTGGAGCAAAAATGGGGCTGCGCATGCAAGCACGCTGTCGTCATTACCATGCAGCTGCAATGTTACGTGAGAAATCAAGCAGCCCAATTTTCCAGTACAGTCTGATTGCTCCTAAACCCAACGGCTGTTTATATCGACAGATGACTTGATGTCAAAGGCCGTTTTCGTACAAAATAATCAACCACAATACAATCCACGGTCGCGGAATGCCCTTGGATGTAGAGTTATTGATCGTAAAAACGAATAGCTTGTCTGATTGAATACAAAATGTCATGGCATATAAGAGTAACATTTTCATGTGCTTTTTTTGTCCGCGTTGTTGTCTAAAAACACAGGAATTGGATTTCAAATTGAGGTATTATTTGAAGCCTTACTTATCATTGAATTGTGTTAGGGCCTACAGTGAAAGAAACATATGATATTTTTTATCACGATACGTCGGCAAATTTAAGAAGTCAACGAAAATGTATACAAACTGTTGCTTAGATTAAGTGCCATACGAATATAAAGTTTGAACTGAAAATACTTGTTCCAAATATTTTCTAACGTGCGTTATCACATGATATACAATAAAACACCCGTGATCGCTTCCTCACAAACGTGGGCTCTGTTAATATTATAACAGCGGAAATCATACCTGTTGATGATGAAGCGGATCCATTCGATATCACATTGTATCGTATGCACATTCATTTAGGAAACCCCAAACGACAAGCGAGTGTGCAGTTTTAGAATTTACAAAATTTGATTATCCCGACAATTCCACGCTACGATTTGTTTGTTTGTTTAAAATCAAACAAACAAACAAAACAAATAAGAGGCACGTTTCTAGACATTGGTGGTAATAAAGGCACTCGGGCGAGATGAGCCATGGCAGATCCGGATTTCACGCAGCAATCAACACGGCCTTTGCAATCGAACCTACTGCTCATTTGTTTTTGTTCTGGCGTTTTCCTCGTTAAGTCAGATTGTAATTAGTCAGAGAGTTAATTAATCATCCCGAGATAAATTCTGAATGTGTAGAATGGACGTGGTGACTGTATAACCACCATCTTGATTCACCGTTTAATTCTGACCCCAATAAAGAAATGTTTATAGGCAGTGGGTTTGAGGTGTTTTTAACTGACACAGCTTGCAAGATTGCGCCACGTGATCCCTTGTAATCGATGTCTCCAGTGACAAAATCTTCACAAAATTCTGCCAATGACAACATCTAACGCACAATCTGACTGCGAGGTTAATCAGCTGAACTCTCCAGGTGGATCCAGCCAGCCGTACCGCTTGTGAGTCTCCACGATGTTATTGAAACTCTCGAGGGCTTCTTGCTTGTTGAACGGAATCTCCCCGAACGGTTTCTTCTTGTTCTGAGAGATGCGGGCGTGGCCGGCGACCAAGGTTGCTCCCAGTTGCATGATAACTGCCTCGATGGTGTAAGAGCTCGACCACCCTTGAGGTGTCAAGAGCTCCATACAGATGGCTCCTCCGTCTAAGACGTACCCGTTCTCCACCCGAGGTGTAGTCACACGGACGAAGGGAGGCGAGAAGGGGAAATTATCCGGGAAAGTCATGTTGAAGTCGATGGATGCAGTGTTCGTCGCCTTCATGTCGCTGTGAAGTTCCGACATGGGGTCTACTTTGAGGAGCTTTATGCACCATTCGTAGAGGTTATCAGATACTAGACTGATCTCAAATAAAGTGTCCTCTGACTGGCTCATTCGGTTAGCAGCTTCGAACTCCTTCATGACGCGTCGGGTGCGCACGTTTGAGACGTACTTTCTGGTGGGTTGTGGGATGTCCTCTAGATCGGATGAGGAGATACCCTGCCCGGCGGGCTTGAACTTTAACATGCTAGCCGATGATTTCTGCTTAAGGATGGGCGCAACTTTGGCCTTGACTGAGGGTTGAGGTGGTGATGGGTGATCGGCTGGTATCATACCTGGCAGAGTCATATGTTGATCATCCGTAGTGCCGTGCGAGTCATCACTGAATCGCACGCTGTTCATTTCCCGTCGTATATCGGGTTCATCGCGTGCGACAATTCTCTCCCGTGCGCCACCATCCCCTCCCCCTTCGCCACTTCCCCCTCCACCGCCCGTACCACCACCCCCACCCACACCGCCACTGTAGGCAGGTAAGGTGATAGAGTTTTCCGTGGATGTGGTGCTGTCCTGGTTTCCTATACGGAGCTTCCTAACCCGACTGAAGGAGTGTCTCTTCCGTCGGGCGCTGGGCGGTGCGCGGTTGCTCTGCCGTAGCAGCTTGCTCAGTCCGGCCGCCATGATGAGACTGATGCAGCGCGCGCTCAATTCCCGTCTGATGCACTCCCTAACGCACGCAACAATGTCTATCACGGCGTCACTAGCGACAGAAACGACCTGTCTCACAAACAAATTACATCACTGAGAAGATCACCTAATGACGAAAAGCGTCGAGTCGACAATACACTGCACTCAAGGTTAATTGCCTCGAAGCCATCGCCTTAATGAATGAACAGCTCACTCGGTTCAATACCAACGGTTGGTGGTGATATAACGATCATCAAATATCGCTCTTTCCTCCTTCATCAGGATAAAACTGCAAGATCACCTTCACTGCCATGACTGGCCTCTACGTAAAACACTCCACAATGCAACCGTGTGTACACAACAGTCCCAGATAGTCGAGCTCTCTGAATTGAACCCACTTAATGCCAATGCCTGCGGTTGTAGACAACATTTGGAACAATCGCAGAATGGTACACGTGTAGCCTGGGGGAACACTGATGTAGGTTAATGGTGCTCGGGGTCTGACGGCATTACGGTACAGTACTGCCGAGAGCGGGGAGAGCGGGATAATGATAATTGCGTGCGCCGACGGTAAAGGCCGTTTTCTAATTGTATGCGTCCCAAAATAGGCGCGGGTTCCCTGTCTTTACAGATGCCGTGACATGCATGATTTTCTTGCCATGCAGAAATCGATCGTAGACTATGAGTTTACTGCCAAAAAAAAAATTAAAAAAAATAGTGAAGTGTGAATTGTAAAAAAAAAGAAACAATTATAAAGTTATTCCACATTTCCGCAATGTCGTGCTTACGAGCGCGTGCTCTGGTTACGTATGCACCGATGATAATTAATAGGGCTGAACTCGGGTGGAAATGACGATGTTTTCGAACGAGTAGATCATGCTATTTTCAAGCTAAACCCAACTCCTCTTAATATACGTACGTTCTTGACATTTCAAATGTGACCTCAGTGACAAGACGGCGTCGGTCGCGTTCCATTGAATAGCTTTATTCATATTTCACTGTGTGAAGATTTTGGTGTACAGTAATTAGAAAATAACAGTATTTAATATTATAAGATGGAATTTTGCGTCGGGGTGATATAAATCAAATTAGGTTTTACCCTTCACCGTATGTTAAAGTTATAATTTTATAAATGCGCACAATTCTTCAAATAAGTCCAAAAATTGGGCACATTTTCTAATCGCAACGTTTTCAGTCACCGGAAACGAAATGTAATGACAACAACATTAAAAGGAATGACAAAAAAAACCCCAAAACCCCGAATTTGCATTTTCAATTTAACGCCGAATGCAACACAAGTCGAATTTAGGACGAATTGATATGCTAAAAATTTGAATTATACTGAACCTTAAATGAAATGTAGTGCTGGCTTTTTTTGGAAATTCAAATTGAGAATTGAGCTGTGCGATGTTTGGGGACGAAATTAAAGTATCGATATAGGGAATTCGTGTGGTACAAGGGCTAAAATAACCGAGAAAACCCATACTAAAGAAATCTTAGAGGTTATATTAAAGGTTTATGTTATATTCCAGTTAAAGTTAGGGGTGTATTCTTGAGGTAATATTCCACTTAAAATTGGCGGTGTATATATATTTTAGGTAATATTCAAATTAGAACTAGTTGCGTATAATTTATGTAAATAGTGACTTTGTAAGCACATGGATGCCACGGGTTAATAATGTTTTTTTTTGTTTGCACATCAGCCCCAGAAACACCTGTCTGCTTTTCTTAAGTAAAGCAATTCAGCCTGTCAGCGTAATTATTAGAGATGCTTTCCCGAGTTAATTTCAACATGCAGTGCCGACAATTAAAACAAGACAATAATTATAAACAAACAAAGAAAGCAAGAAAATTCCCCCAAACAAATAAACAAACAAGACAATAAATACATATAACGCATTAGGATCTTCGATTCCTTTTATTATGCCAACACACAAACCCAATTAAGGCAAAAAAAAAACCATGTTTAGCGTCCTGCCTTTTTGAAAAAAAAGGAAGGAGGAGGCCTTTTTTCCCAAAAAAATCGCCGCCCAACCGGGCTACTTTTCAAGATGGCCGCCAGCTTTTTTTTTTAAATGGCAGCCACTTGGACTCAGGAAATGACATACCAGCTTTATATGGGCTTCATGCCACAGACAAAGAGGCCAAAATGATGTTACTGTCAAAAAATCATATTTGTTTTTCGTTAAAAAAAAGAAAAAAAAAGGGAGGCGGCCTCCAAAAAGGAAACGGGCGGAGACGCTAAACATGTTTTTTTTTTTAAACAACATTTGTTTTATTTGGCCTTAGTGTTAAGGTGGGACTGTGGCTTATAGCTTAGTGGAGCATGAACTAAATCATCCGTGATTTACTTTGCCCTATTCGAAACCCACATAAAAGATAATCTATCATTTTCTCGAACGTGCATCGGGCGAATCAACTACACGTTGCTTAATACAAAACACTACATTCAAACAAGTATTGGCTGTGCATGACCCTGGCCTAGGGCAAATTCGCCTGGCGGAACGGCGCTCATATTTATTGATCTTATGGCCGGTACAATTTTCTCAAGTCATGGTTGAAAGACCATAATAAATGTGGAGCACTTGTTGAGGTCACGCACTCCGTTTTGTTTGTGTTTATTGTCTGTGATGATAAAATTATTCTTTCCTAAACAACAGAGGATAACAGTAATGGCCATTATTTTTTTTACCGCTTCGTCGGTCCGTTGATTATTATGTACATGTACATGTATTGCAATAATCACTTATATTTTACTGATAAAAGAAATCATCTGGAACACTTTCCATTTGAAGTTGTTTTGATAATAATAAATCAAAAAATCGATAATTTATTTAATTTAAACGTTGATGTTGCTGCGTTGTGTTGTGATTTCAATTCCGGCTATCTAACCTACGATCTAGTCAGATAATTGTCAGGTCAGGGAACCAGACTTGCTTGCAATAACTCGCCGGGGGGCAGAGTTGTAACGAGTCACTGATTTTTGAGACTCGAGTCGAGTCGAGTAATTTCATTTCAAAGAAGTGACTCAGTCGAGTCGATTCATTTAGTCAAGAAGGTCGAGTCGAGTCACAAATATTTGAACACCATACAATAAATAAACACTAGAGTGAAAGTCAAGTCTTGGCTTTTATAATTTTACATTCGGGCTACTACATGTGGTGACACCACATTCGACCCTTAATGAAAATAAAAAGGGCGTGCCAGCTGATCGCCCATTCAGCTGATCGCCACATTCTAACGCGACGTGAACAAAAAACGGCACCGGTGTAAGGCATTGCAAATTATTTTTTCGCAAAGTTTTGCTTTGGGGGGGGGGGGGGGACTTGAGTCTTATTAGCCTTCCTCGAGTCGAGTCGAGTCATTCTGGTGATGGACTCGAGTCGAGTCGTTTCGAGTCATTTGCTCGCAGTGACTCGAGTCGAGTCGAGTCATTTGCCCTTAGGGACTCGACTGGAGTCGAGTCGAGTCCCAAACAACTCTGCCGGGGGGGATTTTTCTTCTGAAACCAATTAAAGTAATTGTCCTTAATACGCATGCGTGAAACACATCACGTGAATGAACCGATATATTGTCATTTAATAATTTTTTTTACAGTTTATATTTTAAGAGAGATTCCAAGTGTCATTGGTAGCATGGTGAGCTTCACTAGTGTTTGTATTTTCCCAAAAGGAATTTTCTGTCTACGATTGTGTTTACCGAAGTCCTACTTATCGATAAAATAATATAATTGATGACTCTAGAGGATATTTTTCTTATCAAAGAGGTAAAGTCCGAGAACCACATTCCATTAACGAAAGATGCATGCGCGTTATGGTCAGTGACTTTTTCTTGGTTGTAAAGAAGTATTATTGCTGCTGGGCGACCCGTGATACGCAAGCCCCTAAACTTTCGAAACATTCCCACAATTCTGTGAAACAAAACAACGCTCAATCTATTTTAAATTCAAAATTCCAGCACATGTGTTTATAGCGTGTTTCCGACATTCTGATGGATAGGCTCAGGTTGCCATGATTGAAGTTGCAGCTTGATATTGCAGATGATTGGCATTTACAAACGTCAGACGGATATTGTCAACGAACCACAAGCAATCAGCATAACGAATTTTGGAGATGATGGCCTTTGATGACATTTGTAGACAAGCTTAAAATTCAGTGGCAATTTCAAGCTTTACAGCCATATATCCTGCTATTATTATCAAATGAAGTTGTTTGGAATTCGTGGATGATTCATCTCTTATAAAATCGGTTATTTGACTGAAAACAGCCTGTGTGCTGTATGTATTGTACTGAAACGGCACTTTATTACATTTTTTTTATCGATTCCATTGCAACCTGGAACTCAAGTCGTTACCAGTGAGACAATTTCGGGATTTGCGCTTCTTGAGCACCATGCAACGATCCTATTTGATCTGTGTTGAGCATGTGAATGGGAGCCAGCCAAGCCTATGCTTCTTATGTTCGCTCGGCGCTACGCGGTTACCGGGGAGACCAATACGGGATTTGTTCTAAGTTAGGATTGTGCTTGGTCTCGCTGGTAACCGTGCAGCGGCTAGCGAAAATAAGAAGCATGAACTTGGCTGGCTCCCGATTCACGAATCCACAGTGCTACAAAAAGTGCATGTATTGTCCGTTACCTAGGGAAATCTTGGGAATTTTACACAAATAATATTTTGCGTGATCGGAACGCCTTGCCTTTTCACGTGCGTGTCATGTGTAAGTGTACTACTTACTAAACATTTATGGTCACTTTGTGACTACTGTGGTCAGGAATATTTGCACTTGTGTGCAAAGTTGCTTCCCCCTAAAAAAAAATATATATATATATGCTGTCTGTATGGCTGAACCATTGAAGGTGTCGTTCCTTTCACCTAATTTTGTTGGTGTCAACCTTAATAAACGCTTGTTGGTGTTAACCATTTTGTTAAAAAAACACCAAGAATTGAATTGCGTGTTGTGTTTCTTTAATTTAATTTAATTTAATTGTATTTACTCGTACTCAGTGCTTTGGACTCGGACTCGTCACAGTGTACTTTGACTCGGCCCTGGACTCGGCCCCTAAAGTAGGCCTACTCGGAGAACTCGGTACTCGGCTTTGAGGACTCGACTCCAACACCGATACAATGTATATACAAATAAACGGTGGAGTGCCGTGGCCGCGTGGTCTGGGGCATTGAATTCATGGTCTGCGAGTAATTCTGCAGGTGGTGGGTTCGAGTCCAGCCTGGGGTTATGGTGTGTGTGCCCTTGGGCAAGGCTCTTTGTCACTCTTTAAGTTGCTCCTCCCCACCCACGAGTGAATGGGTACCTGTGAGGGCAGAGATGGTTATTGTGATTGATTGTACAGCTGCTTTGTGCCGAAGTGGCAACATCGAGCTGTATACCTCCCAGGGAGCTGAGATGGTAATTGGCATGTTTAAATGGCCCAATGAGCAGAAAGCATGTAAAGCGCTTTGATCTTATAATCATATCGCTAGATAAGAACCCGTTGGTATAATTATTATATTAATAAATACATAATTGGCAAAACCTTCTATTATCTGATGTTTTATTGGAGATTGTATAGAGTTTAATTTATCAAAATATTATTGAAAACAATTTAAAAAAAAATAATATTAAAGTTTATCTCTTTTGATTTGCAGCCATTTGTTGTAATAAAGTAGGAAAGGTTACAATTCTCTTTTCCATCGGCGTACATCCATTCTCTAAGCAAAAGAATATGACTGCAAGAATGTAATGTTTTTCAACAAAACCTCTTTGAAAGGGAACGGTATTGTTTTGAGGTGTTTATACATTTATTTACAAGTTACCCTCCCAGCAATACGAACATACATACGACAAAATCGGCAAAATTTATTTTAAACCTACAGTCCATCATTTGTAATTTGTGCATTTTGTTCGTTTGAAGCAACAAAGGAGTTCAAAATCTAATGAAGGATACTGAACAACTAACCTGATGAAGTTTCAGCTAAGCTTCAGCTGTACATTCCGAGAAAAACAGCATTCTAAGATCTCAATTTCAAATCAAAAGTTACTGAATCATGTTTTGAATTGTTTTGAATTGCAGCTATACGCGATGTCGCGCACTGATCCGACGAATTACAACAACCGCGCGCGCGTGTGCGTCGTTCCAATACTTGTGCGCGCTGCGCTGAATAACAAAACGAACTACTAATTTAAATTTTCCTACGGTGCTACTTAAGAATCACCGTTGGAAATGCCTTCTTTCGTTGATTACTTCAAAATGACAGCTTGTTAGAAAGAATAATTTCACAGGGAGTTTAGTCCCCTTACTATCTTTCAACCATCATCTATCTTTCAACAATAATTACGCCAGTTACTTTTCGGATAGCTGCAAATGATGGACTATAGCTTTAAGAACAAAAGGAATTATACCGACTCGAAAGTTCATGTCTGGGCGGTTCTGTTAGGATAACCTTGGCTTAACACGATACAAAAAGAATCGTGTTTGGTTGTCTTATTCGAAGACAATTTACTGCGATTATTGTCCTTTTCCAAAACACTGTTGCATATTTAACATTGTTTTTGTAAATCGGAACCATAATACATGTCCCTACATCCATCAGAATTTGAGAGGCATTTTGTTGTAATTGTTTTATTTGCTTGCCGCACACCGCAGGTTTGATGGAGGGAACGCTAGTCCGTGTAATTCTAGCACATCAATATGGAAATTTGCGCCTTGCTCCACATCAAAGGCAGAGGGCGCTCTCCGGTCTCAACTGAAAGGTTTCAGACCAGTTAGACCTCAGTTGTTATTATGCGCAGTTCCCAAAATTATTTAAGAAAACATTACAATTTTCCAAGGTGTTTTCGCATCAACTTAAAGCCCATTTCATCATCTTTCATTTTGTGTTCATTTTATTTTTTGGGGGGAGGGTATCTAACAACTTTTGGAAGAAATTTCCATTCGTAGATGATCATCCTTAAAAAATAGTCCTGAAGGCCACCGCCATATTTAAAACGATGTCTACGCTCCATTGCAAAATAAAGCCCTATTAGGGCATAATTCCATCAACATTTTGCAGAAATACAATCTGACAGTCCTGTGCATGGTACCACCTTTCTTCTTTTTTGTTTACAAACCATCGTGTTCGGCCCACAAAATGATCCAATACCGAAGAATCTGAGGGCATTCAAATCGTAATTTGGTTGGCTTGGGTCATTTTTGTCCTATTTACTGGTCTGGACCCCAAACTGCCGTGCAACTTTCCCTTGGACACGGTTGCTTCTTCCTTGCCATCTACCTCTTTACAGTTTTCATCCACCAAGTCATCAAGCGGGGATTTCCCCTGGAAGACCATTGGGGTGCGGTAGGAATTTCCAATGCGGTCCCACAGGGTGAAGTACTGGCCGTAGTTGTAGTTATAGTACAGGTGGTGGTCGGTATGGTGAGCCGTCCCGTTGATGTAGGCCTTCAGTGGGCCTGGCACCCGCGTGTCTCCGTCATGCACGCTGATTGTCCACATGTTCACTAGGAAGAGGAGTACCAGATAGACGTACTTGTGTATGGGGAACAGAAACGGGAAGACGTGGTAGGGCAGGCTCTGGGCAAACCCGTCCAGAGGGTGGAATGCGTGGCTAGCGAAGGGGGAGGTGATCTTGTACATGTGATGCTGCTTATGGATGTGTTTGTAGACAAGGCGGTGGTGGAGCCAGCGGTGGATCCAGTAGATGGCGGAATCGGAGAAAGCCACCATGCCTATGACGTCACGGGCGACCAAGAACCAAGCTGGAACACACGGAAGCAAACCGCCAATAAGCCTCGTACTAATGACGTCACACTTTGTTTACGTATGTGCTTTCCTACAGTGCTCAGTGGACCGTGGGCCCCCACTGGCTCCATAGGAAAGTGCACGTGTAAACAAAGTGTGACGTCATTAGTACAGAGGGTTATCAAAAATCTGAAGAATAACACATTCATCCATTAGACTCGCGGTTCACCAGCATAATCTTTGCCGTATAAGAACGTGTCCCGTTTGCGTCGTGTTCATGTACCATTAAGGCCAAAAAAAAAATTAGTCGGTCTCTGGTCAGACCGAAGTTCCGGAATTGATGCGGCGACGCGGTTTTTTTTTTTGGTGGCTTTTTTTTTTCAAGCTTGTATTGTACAGACAAGGTGGGTACTATTTTGCTTTTTTGTGTCCTCCATAATTTGCCTTTTTGCCCTTTATCATTTGCCTCGGTGCAATTTCCCATTCCTTGGTGCTCCTTGGTACAAAAATTTGAGGAGGCGCGGCAATAGAGGGCGCTGTTGTAGCTTCCGTGTTAATTTGAAAAAAAAAAAAGGTTGACACGCATGATTAAAATTGACGCGCGCGCTGACCAGAGACCGAGTATTCTTTTTTTGTCCTAACAAAAAAATTGTCAGAATATTGTTATGTGATATCTACGTTTTCAAGAAATTTAGCCAATTTTATCATGTTCGATTCTTTTCATGAATGAATTTTGGGTAGCTTGTCAATGCACTGAACTGTCCCCATGACCCCGAGTCAGGACTCTCCCAATTACTTTTCCTGTACTGTGACAACAGACCTGAAGCGCAGCGGCCATCTTAGATGGCATCTGTTACGTAACAATGATTGCACACAAGGCTCACTCTTGCATATATCACAGCAAAACAAAAGGCATTGTCCTTCAAGATGGCTGCTAAGCATAAGGTCTGTAGTCCATATTTGTGAGCGAAGGAGGACGCTGTAGAGAAGCGATTTTCTAGTTGCATGCAGACAGGAGAATTGTCAGGTTCATTGAAGCAATATTCCTATTAACTTTACTTCAGTCTAATTTGCAGAAAATGAATAAGACTGCTGCAAACTGCTTTCCGAATGGGTTGATCAGAAATAGACAAATCTAAAAAAATGAGTGTCCCCCATTAATTCCCTGGTCCGTCCCCTATTTGTACCTCTGTCACTTTGCCCCTGAAGAAGATCTTGTTAAGATCCGAATTTGATGAGCATAGCATGCCATTTTGTTGGCATTGCAACGACATGTAGACTTACGTCAATACATGTGATTTACATCCGCTTGTACCGCAAAATGGCGTATTTTTAACATCCCAAAAATGGGGGAGAAATGGCTAACATCACTTACTTGTGTATCCAATTGTGTCGCTATCCTCATACATGTACAGTTTGCTGAAGCCACGGACCTCCAACAACATGATGGCGGCGAAGAGAACAGCCTGCTGAATACAACTGAGTAGACTCATCTTGATTTCATGGCGGATCTGATTCTGTATCAATAAGCAGAGATATATTTCGAGAATCGTTCTCGTAACAACTGTTACTCAGACTTGATGCTGATCAGCTCTAATTTCTTTGAGGTCTCTTTGGATGGGACTACATTTTGTATAGCCAGTGACCCGAGGTCAACACAACTCTCCAAGGTGCTCGAGACACACATCAGATTAAAGCTTATCTCATCATCTGTCATTTTCATTTCAGTTTTTGGGGGTATTCTGATAACTTTTGAGAGAAATTTTCATCCTAAGATGATCACCCCTTAAAATAGCCCTGAGGCCCATCGCCATTTTGAATAACGGTGCCTACACTCCATTGCAAAATAGAGCACTTTTAAGGCCCTAATTTTATCAAAATTTCACAGAAATACAATCTCACGGTCGTGTGCACGGCTTCCTCCCTTATTTTTGTTTACAAACTCTCCAGTTCATGGCCCACAATATGCTCAAATGCTGAAGAATTTCAGGGCTTACAAAATCGTGCTTTGGCCGGCGAAGGCAATTTTGGACCAATTAACTGGCCTGCGCCCACTAGGGCTGCAAACCTGCAAATTGGCCCAAACTTGCCTACGCGAGCCAAATCACAATTTGTGTACCCTCAAATACTCTATGTCAATTAGAGCATTTTGTGGGTCACGAACTTGACGGTTTGTAGAAAAGAAGAGCAGAAGGCGTGCACGTAACTGCAACCTTGTCATTTCTGTGTTATTTAGATGGAATTGGGCCGTAAAATCGCTCTATTTTTTGCAATGAAGTGTAGGCATCATCAGATGGCGATTGGCCTCACCACTACTTTTAGGGGGTGGTCATCTTCGGCCGGCAATGTCTCCCAAAAGTTATCAGATTACCCCCCCCCCACCCCACCACCCCAAAGGTTTCATTTGCTCGTCGCACTCCGCACGAGAGCGCTTTTAGGGTCCCAATTATTTCATCAAAATTTCACATAAATTCAAGCTCACGGTCCTGTGCACGGCTTCCAACTTTATTTTTTTTATATTACAAAACCCTCAAGTTCATGGCCCACAATATGCTCAAATACTGAAGAATTTGAAGGCATGCAAATCGTGATTTGGCCAGCGTAAGCAATATTGAACAGATTTACTGGCCTGCACCCCTATACGTTTCCTTCATAAATATTTTGTAATAGGCATAAGACTATAATAATGTCATCCATCACCCCTGAAAAACAAAACATTAAACCGAAAATCTCAAATAGATTTGACCGCAAAAAGAATCGATCCCATGTTTTTACGATGACTAATCATGCAGTAGACTGCGTCCGAATTACTTGGCGATATGACCGGCAGGCGAATTATTTTTTTCCCAAACGAAATCCGACAATATCGCGACCAGGAGTAACCCCCAGCTAGTACTCTATGAACGCTTCCAAAGGGTCATGCATTATTAGTTCTAAATCCGTCTTGACGACCCTTAAGGGTGCAACCCTGCATTAAAATTCCCATAGACAACAGTGCTAAATGCCTATACTTCAAAGTTCTTCAACAAATACTCAGAATTCTCACAGGTATGTAAACTGCACAGAAAAATGACGATCAACATGTCATCTCTCATTTTCTTTTCATGTTTTGGTGGGTTGACTATTGACTTTTCGAGAAATTCTCAACCAAAAAATAGGACCTCTATTTTGCCCAAAGCGGAAAAGAAGCCATCTTGAAAAACGATCCCTCCACAAAACATGGAAAAACAGCGCTACTTTCAAACCCAATTGCATCCCAAATGCTCAGAATTGGAAGCTCAAAGTCCGGGCCAGAGTATAATTACCATATTTCTTCAATTCTTCAATTGTATGGCTCTCAGAACTCTCTAATATAGACTATATTTAGGGTGTAATGACTCGGCAGATGGGTTTTGGCCTATTTACCCCTAAAGTCATACGATCAAATGTATATGATGTGTCTAAGCTATAGTTTGGAACTAATGTAGGCCTTAGATCATGAAATACTTTCAGCGTTCTATTAAACTTCTGACGGTAGTGCACCTTGAGAAATCTCTATATTTGTATGTGCATGTTTATTTCAAGTAAAAACGGCATTTTTGGTGTTATTTTTTTTTACCTTTAAGAAGAACGGGTGCCTCTTGAGTCGTTTATCAAACACAAATATGTAGCACAGTGATGCCGCAAAGAAATAGCTGATGACAAACAAGACGTTTACGATAACATAGAGACTCAGGAACTGTCGTAGCCAGTAATCTTCGGTCCAGGCGTCAGGATAAACCTGGTACTTAGTAAAGACGTATCTGTCTGCAACACCTAAGACGATATCCATAGTGTGATGCAAGATATGCCCACTTTCGGTGCAAGAGACAGAATCAAGTATCGTTCCTCCTGAGGCAGTGTTGCTTTCCTAAGCCACGGCTCTTTGCTGACTGGAAAGATTTGAAAGACAAATGTGGTTTGTTACCGATCAGTAAAATTATAGTAAATTACGAAGTTGATATGATGGTAACCACTGCATCTTTGGTAGGTGTCAACAATATAGGCCTATACCAGGTATTATAACATGTAGCATTAGTTAGTTAACTTATGGAAGGAAATGTTACGCTTAGATGTGAAGGCGAAGAGTTAATACAAATATTTACGTCGTAGAAATACGTAGACGTAGAAATACAACAAAAAGAACAGAAGGAAAAAAAACAATATCGTCAAATCTGTAGTTTATCAATAGCCAAAACCGGCTTCCTTTCTTCTACTAAATGATTTGTAACATCTTCGACTCTTTCATCCAGCACACGTATTCTGTCCCCTCACACACAACCATCCAGTTTACCCAATATCCCCACTTATTAAAACAAAATCAGGAAAAATCTCCAAACATTTGACTCACCTGTGACTGCTTCAAAGACTAAGTGTTATTCTAACAATGGGGGAATTTGAAGCCAGCACAATCTAAACGTTTCCATTGTCATTAAGCAAAAAGTTTGTCTACCAGATAAACTTTTTTCAAACAATCAATTAAAAAAAAATAAGCTCTGATATATCAGATCGGGTTGTAAATTGCCTTGTTATGGCTTTACCCGCACTGAAAGGATTTATCTAAAAGGTTCACGCATCGGAAAGTTTGTTTGGCGAACGAACTTTGCGACAAGAAGCAAAGTTGCGTCGTGTCAAAACAGTTGACACTAAACTAGCCTGAACAGTAAACAAGTTGCGAACTGATATGAACTTATTAATAGTAACGAACTTGAGTTCAATGCACGTTGGTGCTGTCAAGTGCATTCAAACGATTGTTTGGGAATGACTTATCTCTGAGTGCAGTAATTCAAATTGATTTTTGAGATTGCAAAGTTTGAATATCAACACAACAAACACGCGCGTGGAACTAGGCACATTATAAGCTCCACTATTGTGCCCCGTCAGATACTGACGAAATTGTGTTTGTCCAAGCTTGGCGGGTCATAAAGTTCAAATTGGAAAAACAAAACTTGACAAGCATGACAAAGGTCCAGGATTTCATGGATGATAAACACCTACCCACTGCGACATGTTTGTACAAATGTTAGCCTCTCATACCCTGACAATGGAACATTACACTGGGAAGCCCTGCCCTATCCCGAGTGGAAACTCGATTACGCTCGGCATCATTTTGGCCAGCTTTGCGAGCTTCGATTAAATTCCAAATGTTCAGTATTGATGATGCAAATGGCGGGCATTTTGTTGGTAAATACAACGTAACAATTTATTAACCACCAACTATTTCCCTCCTGCAATCCACTTCGATATTATCTAAACATATCAGGCATGTCGATCTGAAATCCAAACTAACAAGTCATGTTTGGTCAGGATTCGAACCCGGGTCACTCAGGTGTGAGTCCAGAAATATAACCGCTGCGCCAAAATAAACATGACACGTGAAATGAGCTTATCGCAGTGATAAAGCTAACCATTGCACGATCCGACAGGTGCCGTGAACGTGGAACTAAAAACCAGACAATTTTACTTGGACAAAAATCACTCCAGTGGAAATTCGATTGAAAAACTCGATCTTTTCGATTGAATTAACTTCACAAAATCATCTTGTCACTAGTTTGGGTATTTTTTTCCTTTTCTTTCTAACAGAGTACATTTTTATCCAAGAGAAATAAGAGAGTTGACGTGAATCTTTCGAATCTGTCATCGCATTTACGGTGATCGAAACCCTTTATGTTCATCAACTTTGCGCTGAAGATCGATCAAAGCGGGGGATCTTTTAAATTATGGAACATTACTGTCAAGTGTTCGTACTAACGGAGTGTGCATTTTGAAGCGATTAGCAACGTTTATTTTTATTGTTTCTTATCAAGAAAGACTTTTTTTTATTAACATACGTAGGAAACATTTTTAATTAAAGATCATTTGGAAGTTGGAGACAACTTTTTAATGTAGTAGCCTTAATATATCTAAAAATGAGTGACCATACCGATATATTGGAAAAACAGAGAGAACGAACCTGAAAGAAAGTAATTTTGGAACTCTTACAGACTAAAACGAAGCGTCAGCTGAAAGTAACGGGTAGCAATTGCACTTTTCAAGGGAAAAAAATCCCGAAATTCAACCAACTTACCGCAAACATATCCGTGTGTCAACAAATGCGTGTAGGATGTTTTCGAAAAAAAGGAGCAATTCTTCCCTTTTTTACGACATGGCCTAAGATTCGTCAGAATAGAAAACATACGGGCAGGTGGATTGCGGCCAATCTACTAAAACTCAACGCCCATAAAACCCAGTTTCTTGTCATTCGCTCACCTCACCTCAGACAGGACGTTAACATTCCAGGCATACGCATTGATGATGCTCTGGTTGCTCCTTTAACTAGGGACAGAAATGTTAAAATATGAACTCGCCTCCATTTGCCAACTGCGCTGGGGACTCAAATCACCAATTTTAAAATGTCGATTTTTGTCAAGTGTGCTTTTCAAAAATTCTACTTGGTATCTATTATGAAAGACCAGTCATCAGTTGTTGTCAAGCATACAAGAGAAAACCAACCAACCATGGCACTGTCCATTTATTGGACTTTGACTAAAAATACCTATTTGTAAATCAACCACACGTAACAATTGTGAACAATCAGCCATAGGTGAACAATTTATGCATTAAGGTTTGCTTGAATTTGTAAAAAAAGTAGAGTGGAGCATTTTTTTGGGACACCCTGTATTATGCAATCTTCATTGGCTTCCTGTTAAAGACAGAATACAATTCAAAATCCTGCTGCTTACATTCAAAGCCCTTCATGGATTAGCTCCATCCTACATACGAGACCTGTTACAACCAAGGGCGGATCCAGAACACAATTTGTTTGGGGGGGGGGCCAAAAAAAATAGTGAATTCCAAAAATTGGATCAAAAAATTACGGCGTGGGGTTCGGGGCCCGCTTAAGGGCCCCGACATTTTTTTGGATTCTCGATGCTCTGTGGTGCGATCTGAGGCAATTTCTGACCACTTTAACCAATGTTTGTTGAGGAAAAGATGGTGGTGTACTCATTGCCTGCCTTTATTGCGACGTCACATAAAAAAAAAACATTGGTTTCGTTTTTTTTTTTGGGGGGGGGGGCATGGCCCCCTTTGGCCCCCCCCCCCCCCGGATCCGCCCTTGGTTACAACTTCGCAACCACCGACCAGGCCTCAGATCTTCTTCATCACAGATACTTTCTGTTCCCAAAACTCGCCTGGCAAGCTACGGGGACCGGGCTTTTTCCAGCTGTGCACTGCGTCTCTGTGGAACTCATTGCCAGACGAGTTAAGGGACACAACTTATTTGTCATCATTAAAACGCCATCTCGAGACTCATCTTTTCAATCTTTCATTTGAACCACACAATTTTCTGTATTATTATTTTTTTGGGGGGGTCTAGGAACCAAACTATACAAATGGATACAATTTGCTCTACAGAATGCAGAACACAAACATTTTGAGTTCACAGCAAGGGTCGTCACTACAAAGGGCAGAGATGGCGGTCAACATCCCCGTTTTATCTCATCGGTCCTAACGTATTCATCTTCCTCTAGTCGCTGAAAGCAAGCAAGTGTAGCTAAATGCAGCCGATGAACAGCGCCACCTAAAATATCAGATGCTATTCAGTCCCGCCTACCTTCAACAGCGCCCCCTAGTCTTAGATAGTGACCACTCGGAATGTGGGGCTGTCGGTATATTTCCCAAAATTCATTTTAGGCTCCCTTACAGACTGTCATTACTTTGCTAAGTTTGCTTGGCTTATTTTTTTGGGGTATAATGTTTGTTTCTTATTTTAGAGTGGTTTGGTTGGAATAAAACGCAGAAATTGCAAAATAAAACAATCGAAGTGCTAATGATAAGTGCACTTCGATGAATATTAGCAACGCTTAAAAAATAAAATCGGAATTGGGGTGTGGGGCTGCAAACTGATTTTTTTTTTATAAAAAGGGCATGAAAATATAAAAATTGTTGGCAGGGGTTATAACTCTTGAAGTGGGTGCTAGCTTTCATTAAGCACTATTTCGCAAAGTGAGATTGAATGGGGGAAACCCTAACAAGGCCGGCAAGGAATCTAACCTAGACGGTATTCTTTATGAAGGTTTGTGACACATTTTCTTTCGTGACACATTCAGACGTCTTGTCTTGTAAGATGTCAAATTGCAGGACGCCGCGGCAGGGTGCCATGAAATTCTGAGTTTCTTCGTGAGGTTATGGACACTCTGACATTAACACGGGCAAATTTGACCCAGAATCTGGGTTGACTTTACTAGGTCGACATGACCGTGACTTTCCGGGTCGAAATTACACTTTTCCAGGTCGAAATGATACCTTCCGGGTCGAAATAACAATTTCCGGGTCAACATAACACTTGTCCGAGTCAAAATGACACTTTTTGACTGAATGAGATTCACTAGTAGTCGTCTTGTCCCTAATTTTAGTGGCATGGAGAGGAAATGTAATACATGGAAACGAGCCTAGTTTCCAAAAACATACATATTTCTTTGCGGGACGATTCATGTTTTGTTATTAACTTTCCGAACTGTTCCGAAATATTGAGTTAAAATCTTCATTATTAAACGTTTTAGGAACAGTTGTGTCGTTTTAATAATGCAGACATTTTGAGCTTAAGTCAAAAAGACAGTAAAACCTCTTCAATTACAAATTGAATTTCAAACACAAGACATCGCAATACACTACATCTAGGCACCATATTGTATGTATTAAGGCACCCTTCATAGCGGACACTATCGGACAACAGGTGTTCTTCATGGAGGCATAATTAAAGACGTTCCCAAAACGTTAACAAGGAACAATCGTCAAAAAACATGGCAGCTCGTGAAAAAGTACGGGCAAATATCCAGGTGGTGCCTGGGGAAGCGATTATTTATTTTAATAGGGAGTGGGGGGGGGGTGTTCCCCCACGCCCCCTCCC